AATATTTAATTTCAATACAACTATATTAGAACTTGCAGAAAAATTAATGATATATGTTCTTGAAGAAGACAAAAAAACAGAATATATTTTATTTTGTATGTTAGTTCCTAAAGCAGCTTTGGTTGTGACAGCTGATAGTATTCTTCTTAATATTTGTAAAATGCTACACAAGTATTTAACTGCAGAAATGCTTAAGATCCAAAAAGATCAAATAAAACAATTACTTTAATACTATACTATAATAGTGGTTCAAGAACAGTTGCAAAAATTTTTTATTATAAGTAAATTTCTGTTTGTTTTTTTTTTTTTTTTTTTAAATATTAAGATGAGTACTTGTGACTCAGGATTTTATTAATAGTATATTCAGCTAATGGTTGCATTACAACCACAAGAGGCAACCATGGAAAGAGTGTACAACTAGTCACTCATACAACTTTAGTCATTGTCTAATTTAAGTAGTCTGCTTGAAGGTTCTACACTAGCTGCCATACCTAAAACCCACTTGTAAGTTCCCTATTTAATCACTCTGTTCTCATATCCACCTACCTACCTACACCTACCAAGATGCTTCAGTTGATACCAGTTCAAATATACCATGGTTACTAAGTCTTTAAAGTAGTTCACTCACATAGGGAACCTTTGACCTTGTACTAAACCTTTCAGAATCTTTTGTATTCTATTCTTACAGCTGACCTGGTATTACTATGGCTGAGACCAATATTGGCAGTCAGAACATATCATTAAACCGCTATGCCCTTGTAAAGTTTACCCCAACCCTGGTATCTTCTTTTTTCAACATTTTTCTCTTATTCTAAATCTACAAAATTTTCCAGACTACCAATTCAAATGACCTGATATGATATTCTAAGATCCTTTTTCTCTAATGATTTCTGATAGTCTGGTTGGTATATGCTTCTCTACATATATTGTTGTTTATTCTATTCTAGTATTTCTTCTAAGGCTTCTGATGGTCTGGTAGTATTATCAAAAGTTTATGTTACTTTTTTATTTAGGATTTTCAAGTGAATTTCTGTACTCTGGTTTTTTAGAGTTATGCACTTAGTGATCTTATCATGGGTTTGCATTGAAGTCTTATTTAGCACCAGTTATTTAACATTCCTCTATGTACATGTAACATTACATTTTACATAGATGATCTAAGCTTTCATTCAAAATAGTATGCCTAAGATTACAGATTTTCTTCTTTTGTCCAACTGATTGATGAGATATAGTTATTATAATACAGATATAATTATTCAAATTTTACTGTTTATAGGATTTAAACACTAAACTTGCCACTTGGAAATTGACAACCTGTTCACTTTACTAGGTTACCACATCTCTATAGTTCAGATTTCTATTATAATAGATAAATAATTTTATTTATAATATTATAAAATATAAATATTGTTATAGTGCTATAGCATTATAGTACTATAGCATAATAATGCAATCTTTATTATATAATGTAATAAAAAAGTTTAATAAATTAATTTTATTAAAATAAAAAAATTTTAATTTTTGTTTTGCTATTTTTGTTTGATTACTTTTGTTTGAATTTTTATATAACTATTTTCATAACTATTTTTACTTAATCACTTTTGCTTGATTACTTTTGCTTTATTACTTTTACTTGACCACTTTTACTCAATCACTTTAACTAATTACTATTGCTATTACTTATATCTGCTATTACTTATGCTTAATATAACTTATGCTTGTGCTTGATACAACTTATATTTGATTTTAATTATGCTTAATACAAGTTATATTTGGTTATACTTAATACAAGTTATATTTGGTTATGCTTAATACAAGTTACATTTGGTTTTACTTATACTTGATACAATATACATTTGATATTACTTAATACAACTTATATTTAATACTACTTACATTTGTGTATTAGTTCTGATTATGCATTTATAAATTTTTTAATACTATTAAAACTTCAATCAAGACAAAAATTCATATCTTCAAGTAAATATCTTTAGGCTTTTCAATTGTTTCAGAATTGCAAATCAAATAAGCAGTTATTAATAAATTAGTTCAATTCTATAATTATTGATTAAAACAAAATAATATCTTATTTTTTTATTACTAACAATAAGTGATATAATATTCATAACCAATATTATTAAAAATATAAAGCTAAGCAAATATGATGTTTCATAATTTGAATAATGTGATAAATAGAACTAATGTTAATAATAACAAATTGTATAATAGCAGATTTTATAATATAATAAGTTCAGAAAGTACCTATTATGAAAAAGATTAAGAAAATATAATGTTTTCTAAATAGAATAATATGATTAATGAAATAAATATACTGTATAAAAGTAACTAAAATGAATTTAATTTTGTAAATCAAATTGAAGATAGAAATAACTTTATAATAAATCTGAAAGGTACTTATTATAAAAAATTTCAGAACAATACAACTTTTCATGAGTGTAATTGCATAAATAATATATTTGATATACTATATAATAATAGCCAAGCTGTTGATATTAGTATCAGTAGTAATAGGCTAAATATAAATCAAACTGACTATAAAAAAAATGAAATAAAGTATCTTAAAGATTATCAGCATTATAAATTACAAAAAGGCTTGATGTTTCATAACTGAAAACACTTTATAAATGAAATAAAAAAGTATAAAAAAAGAAAAGAGTTTAGAACATGCTGTTATCATATTGAAAAATTAAAAAATAAAAAAGTTCAAAAACATACATTAGTTTGTGAACATTTTGGGCACTTTGAAGCAACAAAAAGCAAAGATCTAAAAAAAGAAACAATAACAAAATATATAGGATGCATATGGCAAATAAATTTGGCATGTTTAAAAAAAATAATCCTTACAAGCTTATATATGTTGCAAAATTAATTAATGAACATAAAAATCATAACCTTGACCAAGCACATTACAAATTTCAAGAAAATATAAATTCATAACAGATATGACTGAGAATGTTAAATTTTTTGTAACAAAGATAAATTGTAGCCTCTAGCAAATCTGTAAAGCTTTTGAAAAAAATATTTTGTTAAAATCTATATGCCAGTATTGTAACAAGTAATTCAATGATTTTGTCCAAAGTTATATAACTAGACTAATAATACCAGCCAATTATATAAGAAGTTGCTAAGTAAGAAAGAAGTTGATCCTCAGTAGTATGTTGAAGTAGATTGGAATTCTAATAGTAAATGTCTTTGTTAATTATTCTATATATCTTCTAATTAAATTGAACAGTAGTTGAAGTTTGGTGACATTGTTTTTAATGACAATACTAGCATTACTAATTATTATAAGATGGTATTGTTACTTTTTTTAATAATTAACAACTATTTATCTTTTAGACTTGTGATTTAGGTATTAACAGATAATGAAACAAAAGATGCATTATAGCTGAATTTTGCAGCAAATTAAACAAGCAACAAATGAAGCTACTTCACAGGTTATTTTTACTGATGCTAATCTTGCCTTAGTTGTCACAATACACAATAAATTTTTTAACAACAGATACTTTTTATTACATGTTTTACATTGTACAAAATATATCTTTAAACTTAAAAAATTATCTTAAAGACAATTATAATAAGTTTATTAGAGATTTTTTTGAAATATAATGAAATAACTTTATTACAATATTTGAATATTAGTGAAAATGCCTACTTGATAAATATAATAATAAAGATGTGATTAATTACTTGCAATGGCTTTATGCTAATAAGAAATTATAGCCAAAAGCATTTGTATTTAAATTATTTACAGCTAGAATGTCATCTACTTTATGAGTTAAAAACTATAATGCAAAGATTAAGAGGTTAATATTTAATTTCAATACAACTATATTAGAACTTGCAGAAAAATTAATGATATATGTTCTTGAAGAAGACAAAAAAA